GATGAACCCCTCTGTTTCCGATTTGAGCCCGCCTGACTTCAGAAAAGCAAAAGTCAGTTCTTTGGATAAGCCCCGGTCTTCAATGGTCTTGAAGTAGACCGAATGCATGGGCTTATCCATGTGAAGCTGCAGGAGCTTTTTCACTTCTGCAGCTTTGATGCGGGCTCTTCTCCGAGCGGGTTCTAGCTCAGTAACTGAGTCCTGAGCCTCGCGCTCGGAGTCGAAAATCAGAGACAATTCATCGGCTGCTCGACGTGCTGCCCTGAAAAGAAAAGCTCCTACTCCTGCCTCTTCATGGGTTTATTATTATTATTATTATTATTATTATTATTATTATTATTATTATTATTATTATTATTATTATTATTATTATTATTATCATTATAGTAAGAGGAATGATATTTCATCTACATAACTAAAATTCCTTTGGAAATGCACTGCACTAAGACCTCACGGCGCAGGCAGGTCAATGCTGTCAATGAAGATCTTGCTGAAATCACAGCCTGGGGAACAAACAACCTAGTTGAATTCAACGCCACCAAAACTCAAGCCTGCATTTTCTCTAGAAAGGCGGAACTCAGTATGCCCGATATTGTAATGTCTGGCTCCACCATCCCCACCAAGCCCACTATATCTATGCTCGGTATTTCCATCAGCAACACTCTTTCATGGGATAATCATGTCAGATCCATCGCAAAAGCTGCTTCCCAAAAACTCGGATTCTTGTTCCGTGCGAAAAGCTACTTTACACCTCAACAGCTTCTCATGATCTACAAAGCGCAGATACGGCCTGTTCTAGAATACTGTTCCCACATATGGGGTTCAGCACCAAAACTTACGCTGATGCTCTTAGATTCCATCCAGAGAAGAGCCATTCGCTTGGTGGGTGACGCCACACTCACTCACTCTTTGACATCATTAGAACACCGTAGAAAGGTCGGCGACCTTTCACTTTTCTATCGATACTTCCACGGGAAATGTTCTTCGGAAATCTCTGCTATCATCCCTTCACTAGCAATACCAATCAGACGAACTAGACAAGCCCAGTCAGCACATCCTTTCGTTGTCAACCTCGAAAGATGTCGAACAGCACTTTATCAAGACTACTTCATCCATAGAACGGCTAGGCTCTGGAATTCATTGCCTGTGGAAGTGTTCCCAACAACATATAATCTCCAAAAGTTCAAAAAAAATTCCAATACCTACCTCCTGTCCCTATCCTCCTTAGGAACGCACGATGTTCTTTGCACATTATAGGGATTCCCTCTCGTGCGCTCCAAGCGATAAAAAAAAAAAGAAAAAAAAAAAAACACGTCAGTCTGTCATCACTGGGCCAACAGTGGAATGGAATAATGAAATGGAAACTGCTTCGCCAATATGGCGTTGAGTCGACCAGTGGGCAATTTTTGTGATTTATTAGTTTCAATAATCAAGGCTGGGATCTAGAATTATACACATCTAATAATTCTATGATCCCAACATGGAATTTTGGATGTGATTACGTCACAAATTACTATTTCCCTTCACCGCGTTTTCTGATCGAGGCAACCTTCCTCTACAAAAATCATACATGCCGTATGGGGGCGGCTTAGAATATCCCCCCCATGGTAAATCCTGTCTGTCGTAAAAGGTGACTAAAAGGATAACTTCAGCTGGTAAATGGTTTCATCGGCCGGTGAAATACCACCATATCAACTTTGTGTGCTGTGAAATGGATAACTCCATGTTTCAGTGTTCGGTCGATACTTTCCGATCTTTCCCACCTTTTTCCCCAATTTCTCCTCTCTATGAATGAAGATGATGAAGTCTCCTAGATTAAAACACACCGGAAGTGATATACCTCTCCATCCGGATTTCCGGGCGAGAGGTACTCGAAGGGACTCATCTCTGAAGATTAATTTCTGCATCATCCGCGGACTCAACAAAAACATCAATGACGTGCACCATCATCTACAAACGAAAAAACCAGATATTCTTGCACTAACAGAAACTCAAGTGAACTCGTCCACCAACAAGGTCAACATGCTCTGTCCTGGTTACAAACTCCATTCTCGATTCAGGTTCAAAGGTGGTGTCTGCCTTTACGCTAAGGTTAACCTCTTATGCCAGCGTGTAGAGAGTTTTGAACTAAAAGACTTTGATGTGATGTGGTTCAAGCTAGTCAATACCAAACTGACCAAATTTATCTGCTGCCTTTACCTATCGTCTGATGATAATGAATGAGTTTTTATCACTCAAACTCGACTCCATTCAGAAGAACCATCCAACAGCTGAAATCATAATCATGGGAGACTTCAATGTATACAACGCAGCCTGGCTCACCAACCACTAGATCTTTTTCTCACCAGCAATCCTGATCCATATAGGATGAGAGTATTTGCCACACTTGGAAACTCTGACCACACTCTGCTCTTTCCATGTACCATCCAGCACCACAACCCCTGCCCGTCTCATGTGGCATTACAATTCAGCCGACTAGGACGATTTCTGAAATTATCATGTTGGGCATGCAAACCTGCATACCGAACACTGCAAGGAGAACACCTTCCGATAAGGCCTGGTTCAGTAGAAACTGCTCTAGACCTGTCGCTTCCAAACAGGCAGCATTTCATCGATGGCAGCAAAATCCAGGCTCTGAGACTAGAGCAGAATATGTAGAGGCTAGAAGCATATGCAATGAGACAATTCGATCACCAAAGGATGCTTGTAATGCCAAAATAAGATCAAAACTTGTTGAATGTCCTGACGGATCCCGTTCATTTTGGTACTTCGCCGAAGCTGTAGGAAGAAACTTCACTTCCAGCTCGTTTTCTCCTCTAACCAAGAAAGATGGAACACTATCCACAACTGCCCAGGAGGAAGCCAACATTTTTGCGCATTCATTTGCTGGAAATTCCACTCTGGATTCATCAGGAAAACATCCTCCAAACATAACGCCAATTGACTGTCATATGCCCGAGATTACCTTTCGCCAACGTACTATAAGGAAGATTTTATTGGGTCTCAACACCAACAAAGGTTATGGCTCCGACGGAATCCCGCCGATAGTTCTCAAGAAATGAGCTCCTGAACAAACACCTGCTCTTTGCAAGTTGTTCAACTACTCTTACATATTGGGGATATTCCCGTCCAACTTGAAAATTGCGAGAGTACAACCAGTTCCTGAAAAAGGCAAAAAGAATCTACCTAGCAACTACAGACCGATCGCACTGCTATCTATTATTCCAAAGATCATGGAGAAAGCTATCAATTTAACATCGAGCTCATGTTCTTTACTAGCTAATTTTCTCTCGAACAGATATCTCCATGTAGTGGTCGACGGAGTTTCATCTGACTCTCTTATTATAAATGCTGGTGTTCCGCAAGGATCGATTCTAGCACCAACACTATTTCTACTCCATATCAACGATTTGTTGGAAGCAACTTCATGTCCAGTATACACAGCTTCGCGGATGATAGTACCCTCCATACCGCCTTCTCTTCCAGGGCTCCAATACCAGCCAGGCAAATCAGAAACGAACGAGGGAGAAATGTTGACAACATAGATATGGACTTGGCAACAATTCTCGAATGGGGGTCCAATAACTTGGTAGATTTCAATGCAAACAAAACACAAGCATGCCTTTTTCTCTAGAAAAGCCGATCTCACTGTGCCCAACATAAGCTTCTCAGGAGTAACCATACCTTTGAAGACATCCATTTCGATGTTTGGTATTACTATCAGCAATAACCGTTCTTGGGAAAATCACGTGAGATCAATTGCCAAAAGTGCATCCCAAAAACTTGGTTTTCTGTTTCGGGCCACGAGCTATTTCACTTCCAGTCAGCTGCTTATGATCTATAAGGCATAGATCCGACCTGTCCTGGAATACTGTTCTCGCATATTGGGAGTGCAGCACCCAAACATACCCTGAAACTGTTGGATTCTGACAAAAAAAGGTCAATTCGTCTCGTGGGTGATGCATCGGTCACAAACTCACTCACTTCTCTGGAACACCGTAGAAAAGTTGGCGATCTGGCTCTATTTTATAGATATTTTCCTTGGCAGTCCCCACGAGATTAACCCGTCGAGTTGAGGCTTCGCACCCCTTGGTGGTCACTTTGGAGACCTGCAGAACATCTCTTTCCAAAGACTCGTTCATCCAACGAACAGCGAGGCTCTAGAATACATTGCCAAGGGAGGTGTTCCCCGAGGCATATAACCTCCAGAAATTCAAGAAGAACACGAGTTCCTACTTTATTTTCCTTGGTTCTCACGATGGACTCTGAACATTACATGTACGAGTTTGAGAGCAGTGGACTGTATTAATTATGTTGGTTCATTAAATGAAAATTGATGATCGGCAATGCAACGAGGGACTTACCGGTTGGTTTCAGTTTTTCTGCAGGAGTTCCTTTAGCGCTCACTTCTTTCTTCCTCCTAGCTAGGATTGAGGATTGCACACACGTAAATGGCACATATGACGTCGATAATTCGTTTTTTTGAAGAGAAATAGATAGGTACCGAGACGGTAATCTTTACCGGGTTTACTTGCGTCGCGAAAAAACTTCTTCCTCGCGAGTCGTTAAGTACTGCTTGAAAATATATCGACTTCGCGCTCCACCTGCGCATTTTTGTGGTACTATCCAGTACTATCTGTGAACCTTAGGTGGTTCCGAGCAGCGGCGTATCACCTCTTGCATTGCATAGATATCGCGGGGTAAAATATATTGACAGTTAATGAGTATGTGATGAAATTGGTTTATAATTCGAAAGTACATGATTCCTGAACATTACAGAATATCCCTTTTCGTCGGAACCAGAACATAAAGAAAAAAAAAACAATTATTCTACCAACCTTGCACCTCCCAGTTTTCGTGTTTTTATCCCTAGGTTATGCCGTATCCATTCAGACTTCAGAGTTTTATATTTACACATGCAGGTGGAACAATCCCTAGAAACTTACTATAAATATGTCCTTTGTCCCTCATGGACCACAAAATTCCCTCAAGAAGGGATAAATCCCTCGAGGTGGCAACACTGCGTTGTTGTGCATAGCAGGCTGCAGACGATCTGACGGCGTAAGGCGACGTGGTAGGGGACGACAGGGCACGATAATATGTATGCGGACGAACGCGACGCCATGTTGCGTTGCGAGCAAACATTTCGATGTCAATGTTCGATGATGATCCAGGATTCAGTCGCCTCTCAGCATCTGTCGTTGTCGCGTGTTGAGTGTACACCATTATCGAATGAAAAAATGGAAAATGGCTTTTGAACGCGATATAAATCTGAAAATCATAGTGGAAGTGGAAAAGTATGAATGTCTATACAATTCCCACTTATCCGATTACACCAAAAAAGACGTAACGGAAAGGGCGTGGCGTAAAATTGCCAAGAAGATTAATTTATCAGGTATGTACCTATAGCAGTAATGAATCACACTATATACTTATATAGACACTATACTCTTTGGCCGTGATTAGGATCAAAACTACTGGTATGCTAAGCTTTGATCGTTGTGATTGGTCTATTGCCAGTATCGCCTGTGTAGGATTTTTACTCTGAGTTGAAACGTGCAATGTTGCCGGTTGGCAGGGAATGACTAGTAGACCAACCGCCCCAATAAATCAATGGGGCTGTCCGGAGTACATTATTTTGACAGTCCGTGGCAGGCCGGGCAGTCCGGTGGTAATACGTGGCAGTCCGTGGCAGTCCGGTGGCATTCCGGTGACAGTCCGGTGGCAGGCCGATGGCAGTCTCATGGTTTCTCGTATTTCCAAAGCAACAATGATCACAAACTAAACTTTAGTTACTAAAGTCTAGTCTTGAACTGAACTTCGGTTTGCCTAAAAATTTACATGTAGGAGTTCTCGAGGTCGGAAATTTCGAATTTCGAGTCCAAATTTGGACATTCGAGATGTCTTCTGCTTCGAAACCATATTAAATTGCAAGATGGCGTCTGCAAGGTGCCAAGAATCGATACCCACGATTTTTGTGTATACAGGGTGTCCCACGATCGATAGTAGATTAGACGTTTATGGAAAACGCAACGATGGATTTTTCTGAAAATTCCGCATTGTAGATTAATATGTCACCTGTTTTATGGATCTAAGCTTTTTTCAAAATTGCGACGTTGCCGCTTTCATCAAAAGTCCTAGCAACTTAATTTTTTCATCGGATCATCCTGTATATTATTGTCATTCCAGTTTCTCCCTAAAGAGCTGATTTCATTGGTGCATCACACTTGAAGTCTAGCGGAAATGATTACAGAGATATAGGGTGTTCAAAATCTCGATTTCTCAACTACAAGATTTTTTTGTGTCAAAACTATTCATTATTGATCTAAACGGCTCATATGTCTCTATCAACTTTTCATCAACTATCCACTGACATTCAATTGGAACAAATACGTCGGCGAATACGGGGTGGTTCGAGATTCAGAATTCTGAAGCTAAAAAATACGTCTCCTGCGTCTTGAACTTCGTGAACATTGCCAGAATTTGGGTCCTCTTCATCAGCAGTTATTTTTTTGGAACATATTCACTCCCCGATTCTTGAGAGGGCTCACTTTCACTTTCCGACGACATCACATTGTATTTTATGGAACAAATGATCCACACACAATGGAAGACGCGGGAAGGCTTGCCGCTAATAACCTCACTCCGATATCTCTCACTACACGCGTACATTTCGATGCTAAAATCGGATAACTCCTGGAGTTGCCTGACTCTAGCACCGTCATGGCCTACATTTCAGTGCAAAAATCGGGTAACTCCTGGAGTTGCTCGACTCTTGCACCTCAATGGCTCATCAGGTAAATCCTTTCCCGTGTAAACTTAATCGGAAATTGTTGGATTCGCTTGATTCTTGCACCAAAAGATGCGCAAGAAAAAACTCTACATGTTAAATACAATAACCCAATTTCGGCATAAAATGGAGTTACCCGGTTCTTGCACCGAGGTCTTCAATTGAGCATTATCAAACAAGTAGCAACTAACAATGGTTATCCTTTTAATAATCAAAGAAAACGTTTTGGTTCACCCATTATTTAGATAAAGTTTACAAAAAAATCAGTAACCTCTTTCTCAGATTCTGTGATGACCTCAATATAATTTTCTACACTTCAAATGCCATATCACGAATGTTTGTCAATAATGAAAATGAAATTCCCCTTCTCCATAAACCAGGAGTATATAAATTATAATGTTCACATCCCAATTGCAATTCCCAGTACATTGGCCATAGTGGTAGGCGGACTCATAGAAAAACCAACAAACCTTCCTCCATTGGATGAATATGCCATTGTTAGCTCTTTTGCCAACCACATTCTCAACTCCAAACATAGTTTCAACATTGACAAAAGTTCAGAAATTTTACTTGTATGCCAAAAAGGTCGTCTATTGAATCTTTTAGGAATTTATCAAATAAATTCATCTTTGAATAATGGAAATGTAATTTCTCTGAATGAACAAACCCATTTAGATTGCCTCATTTTCGTTGATTCATTGATATTCACTGAATGATTTATTTTCTCTTACCTTGCTCTTTTTTGTAGGTTGGTGGTTTCACGGCATCGAGATCGAGTATTGTTTACCAATCTTGATTCCTTTTCCAATCTGACATAGTGTTGTTCTCCTTGGTATTGTGTGCTCACTGCTCAAATCGTAATATTCTCCATGATGTATCTTTATGTTCCATGATCTGCTTGACTTGACATTTGAAATTTTCTGACGTCTATCATGACAATTTTTGTATAACCTCCATTTTCACGCACATGTGATTCTTGCACTTTATCAGGTTAATTTTGATGCCTCATCAAACTTTTTAGTTTGATTTTTCTAAGTTTAATTATCCACTTTCGGCAATTCAAGGGCACGTGGGCCCTTGTGAAATATGCACCCGACCCTTAACCGACAAATTTATTACATGATAAATCTATATCATTTTACAGAGACAGTGACTTTTTTCTTGTTTTTTCACTTTATCCCTTAATATTTCTAAACCCTTAGTTTTCCAGATCATGGAGCATATTTCCTTGTTTGCCCTGTTATTAACTATACTATTTGTATGTCTACTTCTTTCATTTCCACATGTAAGTACTAAGTAACTCTTGCATCTTCATCCTGAGTCAATATCGATTCTTCTAGAAATTCTATACTTTCTATTGGCTGATGATGGGCGTATATGAGCATGAAACATGTTCCTTCACGATTGATCTTTGATCATTCTAATAAATGTTGTGGAGATGACTTTCGGTTTTCATCTAAGAACTACACGACTACTCCACATTGAATTACCATGGACTTCTTCAAAAAGTATTTTCTTCTTCAAGCTAGGATTCTTCTCATCTTTCTGTGGTGGTGAAATTCCATCTACAATATGTTCGCGGGAAAGTCTTCTACTAACATTTTTCTGAGCTATGGGGCGTTTTTGAGAAGGTTGAAGGACTGCCCATATACAATATACATACACAGTAAAAAGATAGAGTGAAATTTAACACTATACCTGTTCCCAGGAGGACCACTAAGCTTTAGAGTGAATGATTTAACTCTATAGTTTAGTATATTATAGTGTGATTTTTTCAATTCAATTAGTGTAAATTCTCAATGCCAGCACATTGAAACTTACTCTATTTATTTCTCTGAATATACTGAATACACACAAAAATAGAGTTGAAAGAAGCAATTTCGAAAGTGAATATTCCACTCAAGACCCAAGCTAGTGTTAATATCATCACTTTATAGTGGAATTCAATAACCGAATATTACATAGTCACAAAAGTTGAGAGTTGTAATATAATAGTAGAGAGTAGATTTCACACTATGAACAGTGTCGGATCCACCGGAAATTGATTGAATTATTCACTCTACATGGATATCAAATTGCTCCTGCATTGTTCAAATTGACACTTCTATTTGTTTTGGTGCTAATAAGGAGTTATCATTTATTCATCATTTTAGATTGATAAAGAAGACTAGTTGAGTAAACTAGTCACTACTTCCTGTTGAGATTCCATCCAAGTTAAATTAATCATTCTTTCACATGTCACAGTATTTATAGGCCCCCGACAGACGTTCAGCGGCGAAATCTCCGCAGCGTCACCTGTATGCAGTGGCGCGAATTGACGGATGAGAAGTTGTGTGACTTTATAATATTTTAATCGTTTGATATTTGGAAAATGACTCGAGTCTAGTGTCGAGTGACTAATTAGTTAACCTATATCTGTTTCATAAATCGTTCGAAATAATAATTCGAAACGGAAAAGACGGAAAATAACTGAGATAGGTATACGGAAATACGTACATAACTCAATGTTGAAAAAAATTTCTCACTACGCGGGTATAGTAAAAAAGCTACTTGAAGCTAATATCATGATCATTACATCATCGACACTATAATCTGTATTACTTATTTCACTATCTAGTAGACTGAACGATCTGAAACTGTATAGATTGATATTTCATCGTATATAGATTGAATTGAACAAAGATAGAGTGTCAATTCAATCGACGAGAGTGGAATATTCAAGTTCACTACTGTCAGTAAACACTAGTATGAATTTATTTTCAATTGTTTGTGAATTGAGTTATCTGATATTTTATTGAAATTTCAGGAATATAGAGTAAATTCAATACGAGAATAGTGGAAATTCAATTAGAATTAGTTTCAAAGGAGATAATCTGCGAGAAGTGTAGTAATAGAGTTGATTGCAGTATTAGAGTGAGTTTGTCAGAGTATTTTAACTCTAAAAACATACTCTATGAGAACCTTGAAAAATAACCTGAGCATATGATATTTCGTATCCAATACAATGTTCGCCTTTTGTTGTTGATTATTCATTTTTAAAAATTAAAATTTAAAAATAACTAATTTCTATTGCAAACGATCGGAAAATATTTCTTGTTCACCTCTATATCATAGAACATGCGATTTTCAGCTTCACCTAACAATTCATGACTATCACGAATATGAAATATTCTGTTCCAGTTCACGAATCCAAAGATAAATGGAAGAATATAAGGTCAGCATTCGTAAGAAGCCTGAAGCCAACCGAAAGGGAATCTTCGAAATTCAGAAAACCATATTACTTGCACGATCGTCTGCTCTTCATTCTTCCTTATGTGAAGCACTCGAATAGTAAGGAATCTGAGAAGCCCACAAAGAGTGAAGAACCAACTGGAACTGAAGAAAACATATTATATGATGATGAAGCGCCATCATCGTTAAGTTCCATTTCAGACGATGGAAACCAGTCAGACAATACTTCTACTTCACTAGCATCCACAGCAGCTAGAAAAAAGAGGAAATCGAACGACCCTGCCAACTTTCTAGAGTATTCGCAGAATAAGAAAGAAAACACCAACACCTCTGACGATGAAACTGCGAAACGTTATTTCTTGCTCAGTTTGTTGCCCGAGCTCAACGGACTCGATGAAGAGCAAATGCGTCACTTCAAAATACAAGTTCTTATGTTAGTAGATAATATCAAGGGCAGCTCGAGCTTTGTTCAGCAATCGTCTACGTATACTCCACCACAATCTTCTGTTAGCGAAACGGAACCTCCGTTCCCTCCATTCCCAAAAGAGGATCCACTGTGATAATTTCAATCATTACCGAATAAAAGTAATAAGTTGTTTGACCAAATTGTCTGCATACCTACTGATTAAATTGGTATATTACTTTTATGTACCGTGTTACTTTCCAAACGCAGGACAAAGAATGGCAATGGTGAGATTCACCATGAATATATTCATTCAAACACCGCAAATGGAGTATTTGATACTATGACCGCAAGTGAATCTAATTTCGTGTTCTTCACCAATCAAGCTGTTAATTGCAAGTGATGAATTGTTTACCATTTTACCAAAGGTGATAGTGATGTATATCGTGGGTCATCTCACGTAATGACGTATCTCATAAAAATCGGAATCTGAGATACTTCGTCAAGTGAATTATATTCTTGTACTTCATGATCTCACAAAGTGGCGTAACTCAATATTCAATGGTTTTCGTGCAATTGAAAATCTAATACCCAGCCTATCTCAAATTATTGGACTACCGAATCTCACGAAGTGACCTAACTATAGGAGTTACTTCAGTACGTGAGATATATTTTCATTATGTGTTGAAAATGTCGAAAGTGACGTATCTCACATAGGGTTTGTCGCGGAAATCAAAATATCTTGGGTGACGTATATCAAGGTACTGAAAGGAGGATTGTACAAGTGGAATGAATTTCTGTGTTTTTATCAATACAAATGAATATTCAGATATGTTATTTATTTGAATTCACTCGATATCCATGGGTGTATCTGAGTCTCCATTAACAAACATGATCTCACGTAGTGACGTATCTCATAACTTCTTTTTTTTCGTTTTTGGGGATGCTTTTTCGAAATCTCACCATATCATGACAACTAGTTCCAGTTCATCCACTGATAAATGAAAAAATAATGATCTTTCATGAACAACCCTCTGAAATATGAGCTAATTAAGATGTTGAAAATCTTTGAACTGCTCTGCTGTGAAATTAGGAAAACTGAGATACGTCACTACGTGAGATGACCGTCGATATGTCATCTCAAGAATGCCGCACTGTCATGTTGAATATCAATTTGAAAGTATTTTATACGAGGATCAATGGACTTCTATAGTTGTGAAGATCAACTCAAGGAAAAATGTTGTTTTTTTCTTCGAATCAACTGGAAGTTATATTAAACCTGTAAAATTGGAAAACTGATGCTGATGCTGATGTGAATTTCTATAGATTCTCCCATCTCATTCCTGAAATCATACAGAAAATTCGAAGTTGAACCAAACCATAATGAGTATAAGTAATTATGTTGGAAATATTGTGGAAAACTTGAAAACTCCAATCAAGATTTTCATTCCATGGATGTTATATCGAACTACCTATATCTGAAATGAGAGTTTTTTAATAAGTAGGAATACATAATAACTTATTGCATCTTTATATGTGTATATTAGGGCCAGGTAGCCGTGCGGACAGAGTGTCTATATTCTAATTCGCATTCGCTTGCCGGTCGTGGGTTCGATCCCCGTCGACTGCAGAAATTTTTCTGATGGCCCAAGAAAGTGTTTTGGATCACACGTTAAAAGGTAAGGCCCCCGTCATTCCTTGCTCGCACAAGACTTTCGAAGACTTTTGAGGGTTGTTCGTAAGGGGGCAACCGAATGACGGATAGAACAAAATTTAGAACAAATTATACCAACCTACATACATAGTACCTACCATCCTATAGATACGTAGCTATAAATTGGTGATTCTGGATGTATAGTTTATTGTGTCGAATGGTATTTCGTGCAAAGAATGTATATACCTATCACATCTTGCCATAAATCTGAATTCCTGAAAACTAGTTCCTCAAATGTCATTGTATCCAATGTGGCATTAGCCAAAAACGCTTATATAGGTATTTAAAGAAATTACTATTCTCTGAAATGTGTAAACGAATATAATTTCACTAAGCTCAGCTATCGACTATATTGAATATTTGGCGATGGTTTCCCAATAAATTATTACGAACATCATTGAATCTTGCTATTTATACAATGATACGAAATAATTAGAAATTATTTATAGTACAATTCGCATCTACTGAGAGTGTGGTATTATTATCATCTCAATTTATGAACGCTAACTCGCTAGTGATTCAACACTAACAAGAGTATGTTTAAAGATGTTACGCACGTAAAATGTAAAAACGTAACATCCTTATGGCTGGACTAAGTTTTTTCTCAGTGTATATGGGGAACTTCAAAATGTCGAACTACTCATTTGTTCAGTCAAATATAACATTTATGTTCATTCCCCGAAGTCCGAAATGGTTAACCACATTTCAAAGTTTACGCATTTAGCAAGATGATCTAGCCTAATAAGCAAGATGATCTTGATTTATACAAGATGATCTAGCCTGATAAGCAAGATGATATTGCTTAATGAGCAAGATGACTTTGCACTGGAGAGCCAGTATGCGTTTTTTTACTTGCTTGATAAGCTAGATCATCTTGCTCAAGAAGCAAGATCATTTTCCCTAATAAGCAAGATCATCATCTAAGGAAGATGATCTAGCCTAATGAGCAAGATGATTTAGCTTAATATTCAAGATTTCAGATTTTTTTCACATAAGAATACAGTGGTAATCATTAACACCATTTACTAAGATTTAAATTATATACAAGATTTCTGTAGTTGAAATGGACAGCAGTATGAGACTTAAAGGACTCACAGGAGTAGACTCGCGCTAGGCATTGTAGCCTGTTTTGTGATGTCAAAATTAGCAAGGCATTTGTACAAGTGTATGTCTCATGTAATGATATTCGAAGTATACTTACATTCTTGGGAAAATCGATAGAGAAACAGAGAAAAAAAAATGATTAGGATTCAAAGGAGATTGGATAAATCGAAATACTTGAAACTTGCTGTGATAAGTATCTATTCCAGTTGAAAAATAGAAATATTTCTGGGTGCTTCTGTACATACTTTTTCGCTTTTTTTTGAAAAGTTTGAAAGATGTAATATCTCTAAGATTTTTTTGGTGAAATGTTGAATATTTTAGGGCCATAAAAAAGAATTCGATTTTTAACTCTAGGTTCATTTTTTATCGAGTTTCTCTTGAATGTGTCTTTGGAAAATCTGTCCGATTATGGAACATTCTTATCAAACAGTGATAAATGTATTCAGAATGAATATTCATCATATTTGATTCTTGATATAACTCCCTTGTTGGAAACAGTCTATTGTTTCAAGATGAGTTTTAATGAAATGTTTTGGGCTATTTGTAATGGACCAATAGCAGTTCTGAGAGCTGCACCCCAAGCAGAAATTCAATATTTTATTATAGATTCGGCAAGAGGAGTGTGAAGTATCAGAAGATTTTTGTTGGATAGTATGTCACATAGTGCAAAGAAAGTGTGCATTAATACTTTGAGCCTTTTTGTAACGAAGTTGATATGCGCCGTCCATTTTAGGTGTTGATCTAGTATAACTCCCAGGTATATATGCATGTTTATTTTGAAGTTTTTGGGTTGGTCTCGGAGGGTAGGGGAAAAGGTTAGATACTTTGTCTTATTTACATTCAGTGACAGTTTATTATTGTTTAACCACATGTATATTTTTTGCAAATCTGTTTCTACTGTCTCTCTTATTTCTTGCCATGATGTACCGATGTGAATCATCGGAGTATCATCGGCATAGCATTTATATCGCCGCAACGGAACAATTGATTTCTGTTATGCTGTTGATGTAAATAAGAAAAAGCACCGGTCCCAACACGGTCCCTTGTGGTATACCAGTGTGTACAATCAGTTCGTCACTTATCTCATTGCCAATATTTACTCGTTGGATTCGATTTGATAGGAATACCATAATTATTCAATTCATTCAACAATAGTTCGTGATCAACGGTATCGAAGGCCTTGACTAAGTCCAGGAAAACGGCAAAGCATTTGGTTGTCCTGTCCATGGCCTTCACAGTATTTTCGAGAAAGTTCATTATGGCATTAACAGTATTTGAATGTTTCATGAATCCGAATTGTTTGTCAGTTATTATATAGTGTTTATCCAGAAAATTAAAGAGTCTTTTCTTGACACATTGTTCAATACTTTGGCTAGCGTATTTTTGACAGACATATTTATTGATTTTGGATTATTTTTCCGCTTGGTGTTACATTGCTGATTTTCCATTGCCAAGGAATGACGCTCGTTGATGAAAATATTTGATTGATGATTTGGACAATGGGAACTAAGATATGAGTATGAACTGATTTCAGTGTCTTAGAGTTTATTTTATCTGGTCCTGGTGCAGAGTTAGTTTTCAGATTCGCAATTATCGTTACCATTTCATTGTTAATTATAGGTTCCAAAAATATTGATTGATTGATATTGATATCGCATAAAAAGTTTTCGGGTAACTTTGTCTTTGGTATTTTGTGGCTCATGTCTTTATCTATATCGACATAAAATTTGTTGAATTCGTTTGATTTTGCTACGTCATTTTGTTTTCTTGAATTATATCATTGTTTTCAATATTTCAATAGTTTTCTCTTTATCTCCACCTCGTATAATGTTTATTATATTCCAGATTTTTTTTATAGTTTCAACCTGCATCATTCATTTGGGATTTGTAATAATCGTTTTTCGTGGTTTTCAGCATGGTGTTCTATTTGTTCCTGTATTGTTATATTCTGATTCTGAAACTGTTGAATATTCTATCAGTAGTTTTCTCTTCAGGTTATCACGATGCTTTATGGAGTTTACCAATCCTGTAGTAATCCTAAGTTTGATTTTGATAATTGATTTATAGTTTCTCATAAATTGTTCAGCTGTAGAAGATGTTATGTGATTTTCTTATCAATATAAGCAAGACGATCTAGCCTAATGAGCAGGTTACAGAAAACGCATCCTGGTCTTCCAGCGCTTCCGTACATCATGGTTTTTTTCTGGAAATGAGTATTCTTGCCTATCAGAGTGGTTTTCAAAAACAAAGAGCATTATTGAATTGGTTCACAGTATACATCGACAACTGATACAACTAATACTCGGAAGATGTCTCTGGTAGTTGCACATAATACGACTGGTCATGTTCACCTACAGACCGCTCTCAGATTTATTGGGTGTAAAAGGGTCTCGAGTGCCTAATTTGAGGGATATCCAGAGATTACGAAGTAACTGGACTAGATAATCGAAACTAACCCAGGAAGTGGAGTGTGTAGGACATTCGGACGCATTAAAGCACGTCTGAATTGACCAAAGAATTATCAACCCTTCACTGCATGATTCTTTTATTAGTTGAAAAACAATATGTTCCTCCGGAGGGGATCATAATTGAGGAAAAATTATTTGAAAAATCAATTCACCCATTTT